CGGAGGGCCAGCTCCTCGTAGACGTCGAGGTCAGAGTCGGAATGGCTGCCAGAGCTCAACATGTTCATCAGAGTCATCAGATTCAATCCAAATCAGAGAGGGGACAGAGCAAGAGAGGAGAGTGAACTGAGCTAGGGTTCCGGATTGGGGTTTTTTATGGGGACGGAGTGGGGGCAGTGGTGGACCAGGCTGACGTGTCGGACGCATCCGGGCGCGCCCAGGCCGCCCCCGATGCACCCTACATTTGGGTTGTATATGAGGTTCTCCGAACAGCCCGAGCATTCGAGTCCGGTTTGAGGCGCCCGATGGGTCATTTTTTTTTGACCGATCAGCGACCGGTCCGCTTTTCTTTACTGACTGATCCGCCCACCTGGGCGTTTGAAACCGATTTGAGGCGCCCGGTTGTAGATGCTCTTAGGAAGTTCCAATAATGTACTCCCCCGTAACAAAATATAAGAGGTTTTTAACAATTGTACATGAATCCAAAAACGTCCTAGAGGTAGTATTATTCTAGGTAATAAAGGTTACTAAGATCAGCGATTATCTTGGACCACTAAAAAAACGGAGGCAGAAGCACTCATTCAGGGTTTCAAATGTATCAAAGGTACAAAACTAAACGACTAGTTTAATGTTATACCACTAATCATGAAGTAACTGAACAAACTGATATCTTTTTAAGAAAAACAATTGATATGCTAATTGAATGAATTGATGATCTCAATGGCACAATATAGTATCCATGTTTCCATCGGTTAGCTTCAACTTACCAGGATTTCAACCTACACAGAACGTTAAATTAGGATTGGCCCATGCGGATCCAACCCTCTAAGCTCACTGCCACACTACACAAAAAGCTAATGCGTTGCTGAATGTAAACTCCAGCTTTACAAAAACTCAACAAGGGCAGCCTTTTCTCAGAGAACAAACCGATACTGCACTGCAGTCCGAGGTTAAGAAAAAACAAAAAGGTAGAGTGACAACTAGTAGTTGTGCATGTACCTGCTGCACTTTCAACTGCGGTTCTTTGCTTAGTGTTGCAGCATTACATGGACATTTTGAGCTATTGGTATCTAGTCTAGCTCTCTGGTATAGTGATCAGTTGCACAAATGCCCAGTTGAAACAGAGAACAAAACGAGACTATGTTACTTTCAAATTTCAACTACTAGTTCAGTAGTTCATCCATTACAGGCAGCACTACTTTTAAGTTTTCACTACAGCCTATGTACTTCTTCGGCGGCATGGCGGGTGGCTTGGAAGGGAGGAGGCGGATTTTGGCAGGAGGAATGAAGAATGAGAGGGATGCCGAGGGGGAAGCGGGAGGAAACGCGGGAAAAAGGCCTCCTCTCACCGACAGAGCGGCCCCACGCCACTTTTCGCTTCTGCCGGCGCCCCCAGGCGACACCCGGGCGCTTGGGTTCAGGGCGGGATCGCCGGCTCTGGAGTTGGCCCAAACCGACTGGGCCGATTTTCGGCCACCAGCGCTAAAAATTCGCCTGGGGGGCCTGTTGGGGGCGCGGCTCGAGATGCTCTAAGGTCAGAAGTTGGCAAAATTGGGCCAACATTTACTACTGCCAGAAATTAAGCACCAGAATGCATTGCTAAGTAGTAATACAAGAGTAGACACACACCTAAATAAGATAGCATCAAGCACAATAGATATAGCACTAGGTTGATACCAAGCACTACTAATTAAGACAACAAACTATAGTTCCACTACAGGTGATATCTAACCTAGGATCAACCTGTTGTTTTACAATTAATAATGCAAGGCATAACCATAGTAGCGAAATAAAAGACTACTAGAAGGAAAACATGAACAATACTTAGCAAATGCATAGCCTTGTTGTAGGTCGGTCATCGAGAACAATATCCCCAGAGTTGAATGAAGATATGCCGGCGCCTTATGGAATCTGTTGCAAGGCCAGCTGAGAATCCGGGATGTTGACTGTGTAGCTGGCGAGAAAGTGGATGATGGGGCAAGGACGGTCGGCGACCAGGACAAACTGTTTGTCCTGCTTAACGAAATCTGCAGCTTCAGAGATCTTCTCCATTTTTCCGTCCTTGATGTTGCACTTGCAGATATGTCCTTGATGATCAGTGTAGTACACACAGTTTGCCTCAGTGCCTGGGAACTTATCAGTATCGACAGCCAAGCACCTGTGGTCACCGATGAAGATGGCAAATCTGCCTGTGGTCTTCATACGGCAGATCATACCTGTCTCCGTGTCAAATTGGAAAGCATTGAGAGAAAATTCTCCATGTGGATCGCCTGGATCCAAGATCTTCAAGACGACACATATATGCCCATCCAAACCCACTAGGAAACCCTCGAGGCTGTACGGATCTCCAAGATGATTGCTGGAGAAGAAATTGGAAAGAAGGGCGTGATAAGGCATGCGTGCGTAGACACCACCTACAGCTGCCTTCCGGAAGAAATCGTAAGTTGCTCGCTCCTCATACTCGTGCCTGATGAAACTTTCACTGTGAGGATCGGCCGCGTAAGCCTCGCCAGATGAGTCGCAGAACACGGCGAGCCGGAGCGAAGTGCCGTGCGGGAAAGTGACATCAGCAATCCCCACATCGGGGGGCACGGGCGCCGCGAAAGAGATCACGACGCCGGTAAGAGGGTTGAGGACGCGAGCGGCGTGAGGAGGGCTTTTCTCCGCCAGGACCAAGTAGCCGCCGTGAGTGGTGGCCACGGCGTGGTAATCCCCGAGCTGCGGGAGATTCTTACGGAGAAAACGGCCGGTGTCGATGTTTAGCAGGAGCATCTCTTTTCCTTGGCTCTGGAAGACCTCGTCGAGGAGGATCCAGCGGCGCGGGCGGAAGCGGGGGTCGGTGGCGTCGCTCCTGGGGTCGTCGGTGGCGGCGCGCCAGCCGGAGCAGACGGCGCGGTAGTCCATGTAGCAGTCGATGTCGTTGGTGGCTAGGAGGGAGTCGGCGACGCGGCGGACGAGGTCGGGCGGGAGCGTGGACCAGCCTGCGGTCGCCATGGCCGGAACCGCCGGCGAGCATTCTGCAAAACTCGGATCTGTCTTCTTCCTTTTGGCAGGCGGAAGCTCGCCGGACGCGGCCGTCACCGCCGCACGCTCTGGTTCTTGCGACATAGGCGCGCCTGGAAACCCCCAAATCCCCAGTGCCTGATAAATAAAAAACACAAAAGATGCAGCGTGAAGGAAACTGAAAATGAAGCAACAGTCGCATAAAAAGAAATGGAGTGACTAGAGCAAGGATTCCGTCGGTGGTTACCAGATCTATCTATCTATGGAGGAACACAGCAAGAGCCAAGAACGACAGCCGAGGCCCGAGGGAGGAGATGAGGTAAAACGGAGGAGGGGAAGGGGATAGGATCAAAGGAGGAAGACTGGAAGAGGGGGTAAAACCGAGACCACTTCTTGAAAAACTCGCACACGCCACCACGAGCAGCGCAGCACGCCCCCGTCCCGTCACGTCACTCCCGATTTAATGCCAGACGCAACCCTTCGGTTTGAAAAAGGCAAGACAGACCTGGCCAAACGGGCCGGCCCGGCACGGCACGGCCCGGCCTGTGCTAATCGTGCCTGGCCCGGCACGGCCCGCCATGGCACGTTTAATAGCCGGGCCGTGCCGTGCCGGCCCATGGGCGCTGCTCCTTGGCCCAGGCATGGCCTGATTGGTAAACGGGCCGGCCCGATGGCCCGTTTAGCACGCTGGGCTGCACATTTTTAGTTTGTTGGGCTGGTTTTTAGGCCTATTGGGCTATATTTTAGATATATATATATATATATAAAATCTGAAAAATATATAAAAAAATTAAACGGGTCGTGCCGTGCCGGCCCGCGTGCCCCGGCTTCAGGCCCAGGCACGGCCCAAGGCGTGTCGCGTGCCTGGCACGGCCCATTTAGCCCGTGTCGTGCCTGGCCCATGGCGGGCCGTGCCGGCGTGCTCGCGGGCTGGCCTGTTTGGCCCGGCCCGTTTGGCCAGCTATAAGGCAAGTGTCGAACGCGCAAGAACATTTTCATCCAAGAATTACCGATAGTTATAGCAACTCCAACGCGACGCCCCAAACGGACATGCGTTTTGTTCGCTTTTCATTCATTTAGGTCGGCCCAACAGACGGGCACGCCCGCTTTTTTAAATAGGTCAGCTTGAGCGTCCAACAAGAAGTGGATAAAATTTACGCCTGAAGAAGGAAAACAAAATAATGCACATGTAACAAATATGAAAACTTAATTTACAATAAGTGGCCCGTCAACCGCCGGTCAAAGTCCACTTACACTTAATTAAACATTAATAAAAACAAAAACAAAAGGTTGGGGCCCGCACGCAGCCCTAGACGCGGCCTTGCCCTTGCCCTCGTCATCGCCGCAGGTGAGATCGATGATGGCGGGCCGGCCCAACCGAAGGCGGCTTGATACGCCGCCAGAGCTGCATGTTAGGTATGTTGGGAAACGTTGCGTGGAAAATAATAAAATTTCTACGCGCACGCAAGATCTATCTATGGAGATGCATAGCAACGAGGGGGAGAGTGTGTGTACGTACCCTCGTAGGCAGTAAGCGGAAGCGTTTAGTAACACGGTTGATGTAGTCGAACTTCTTCGCGATCCGACCGATCGAGTACCGGACGTATGGCTCATCCGCGTTCAGCATACATTCAGCTCGGTGACGTCCTCGCCTTCTTAATCCAGCAAGACGAGCGAAGTAGTAGATGAGTTTCGGTAGCACGACGGCGTGGTGACGGTGATGGTGATGCTATCTCCGCAGGGCTTCGCCTAAGCACTACGAGAATATGACCGAGGGTGTAAACAGTGGAGGGGGACGCCGCACAGGCAATGTTGTGTCCTTGTGGGCTGGTCTGCTCCCTTCTCTTGGCCCATAAACCTCCCGGGGCTTACCGGAATCCCTTCCGGTGACCCGATGACTACCCGGTACGCTCCAAAACTCTTCCGGTGTCCAAATAGTATCATCCTATATATAAATCTTTACCTCCGAACCATTTCGGAGCTCCTCGTCATGTCCATGATCTCATTCAAAACTCTGAACAACATTCAGTCACCAAATCATATAACTCATATAATACTATATCGTCAACAAACGTTAAGCGTGCGGACCCTACGGGTTCGAGAACTATGTAAACATGACCGAGACACCTCTCCGGTCAATAACCAATAGCGGAACCTGGATGCCCATATTGGTTCCTACATGTTCTACGAAGATATTTATCGGTCGAACCGTTATGACAACATACGTAATTCCCTTTGTCGTCGGTATGTTACTTGCCCGAGATTCGATCGTCGGTATCTTTATACCTGGTTCAATATCGTTACCGGCAAGTCTCTTTACTCGTTTCATAATACATCATCTTGCAACTAACTCATTAGCCACTTTGTTTGCAAGGCATCTTATGATGTGTATTACCAAGAGGGCCTAGAGATACCTCCCCAATACTCTGACTGACAAATCCTAATCTCGATTTATGAAAACTCAACAAACACCTTCGGAGATACCCATAGAGCATCTTTATGATCCCAGCAACTTGTGACGTTTGATAGCACACAATGTATTCCTCCGGTATCCAGGAGTTGCATAATCTCATAGTCGAAGGAATATGTATTTGTCAACAAAAGGCAATAGCAAAAAACTTAATGATCATCATCCTGAGCTAACAGATGGGTCTTGTCCATCACATCATTCTCCAAATGATGTGATCCCGTTATCAAATGACAACACATGTCTAGGGTTAGGAAACCTTAACCATCTTTGATCAACGAGCTAGTCTAGTAGAGGCTTAGGGACACGGTATTTGTTTATGTATTCACACATGTATTTAAGTTTCTGATTAATACAATTCTAGCATGAATTATAAACCATTATCATGAATAAGAGAATATAAAATAACAATTTTATTATTGCCTCTAGGGGATATTTCCTTCAGTCTCCCACTTGCAGTAGAGTCAATGATCTAGTTCACATCACCATGTGATTAACACCCATAGTTCAAATCGCGATGTGACCAACACCCAAAAAGTTTACTAGAGTCAATAATCTAGTTCACATCTCCATGTGATTAACACCCAAAGAGTACTAAGGTGTGATCATGTTTTAGTTGTGAGAGAAGTTTAGTCAACGGGTCTGTCACATTTAGATCCGTATGTACTTTGCAAATTTGTATGTCTACAAAGCTCTGTATGGAGCTACTCTAGCTAATTGCTCCCACTTTTAATATGTATCCAGATTGAGACTCAGAGTCATCCAAATTGGCGTCAAAGCTTGCATCGACGTAACCCTTCACGATGAAATCTTTATTACCTCTATAACAGAGAAATATCTCCTTAGCCCTCTTAGGTAAATAAGGATAATTTTGATTGGTGTCCGGTGATCCACTCCTGGATGACTATAGTACCCCCTTGCTAAACTCATGGCAAGGTACACAACATAGCATACTTTATAGAACTTATGGCTGAGGCATAGGGAATGACTTTCATTCTCCCTCTATCTTCTGTCGTGCTTCACACCTTACAATACAGGCAAGAACTCCTTCTTTGACTAATCTATTTTGAACTCCTTCAAAATCTTGTCAAAGTATCATTACTGCAGGATGCTGCTAACACGACACTATGATAAGAGACCCTTTGACGAAACTGTGTGCGATGCATTAATCGCAAACGGTGATGTAATATAAAAAACCATCAAAAAGATGCAAAACATTTGCGATGAAGGATCCATCAAACATGGTTCAGATTTTAGTTACGTGTGCGATGCAGAGCATACAGTTCAGTTCAATTAACTTTTGCAATGAGGAAGAAGAACAGAAACGGGCAACCAGATGAAGGTGTATGCGACAAACGGCATACCGTTCACTCGGATTATCTGTTTGTGATGAGGCGGAACAACAGAAACGGGTAGCCAGATGAAGATGTGTGCGATTGAGGGCATACACTTCAGAAGAATTAAATGTTTGCGATTAGGCAACACAACAGAAACGGACAGCCAGATAGAAGTGTCTGCGATTGATGGCATACACTTCAGACGGATGAATTGTTTGTGATTAGCCACAATAAACAGAAACAGTTAGACAGACCAACGTGTGTGCGCTAGACGGGCACACATTATTCTAATTTAAAAAGTGAGCACGATGGTAATAACGAGCGCGCACGGTTGTTGGAACAAGAAGTGTGCTAACATTGCCTATTGCGGTGCACCCTATGGTGCAAACGCCATGTATGCGGCCGAGAAAGTGTGCCCACGTTACACCGTCCGGCAATAGTGCCACACTTAGGAATTATAGAACCGTCAATAAATTTTGAGCGTACGTCCCGTCACATTCCAAATTACTACCACGCTATATTTAATTGCAAACATGTTCACACCGATCAAAACTTAAACGGTTCTCCACTTAGGAGCGTATTAGAACTCGGCTATAAATGCTATTACTGTAAGATGACTGCACATTCCTCCTCAACTCCTCATCCACAACAACAAACAAGTTATTCATCATCGTTCCCTTGCGTCTGCCATGGCTAGCATGAGTTCTGGGTTGATAGATTACCACCAAGAAGAGGCGAGCATGGAAGCGAAAGCACGAGAGATGTCCCGCCTCACCGCGAAAGCAGCCGACATGTCTCGCCGCGCGGCCGTAGCAGCACAGAGGTCTCGCAGCGCCTCCAAAGAAGCACGGATGTCCCGCCGCGCTGTCGATGCAGTAGACTGGTTCGGCCGCGCCGCAGAAGCAGCAGAGATGTCCCGCCGCGCCACGAATGCAGCAGAGATGTCCTCCCGCGTCGCGGCGGCCCGAGAAAATGTCTCGCGGGCAGGCGAGGACTCTTACAGACGCATGCATGCAATCGTCCATAGCCAGATGGATCAGATCTCCGGCTAGGCAATGTTGCAGGACGACATGAAATCCTCGTTTGAACAGGCTACCGGCATCATCCGACAACTAAGAGAGAGAAATGTGAAGCTCCGAGCCTAGCGCGACCTGCTAAGGGCAAAGATCGTTGGAAGTGCGGAGCAGCAGGTGGAGACCACTACCTTGTTGAAGAGGATCGGCGTCATCGTCGAGTAACTTATGGACGAGAATGCCATGCTCCGCATCAAGCGCAAAAGGCTGGTGGAGGAATCTGTGGAT